CCACGTTTTGAAAAGCTTCTTGTGATATATGTTAACCGTTACCAGATTCATGCCTCATTCTGTATTTCAACTGGACAAATAATCAATTGGCAATAGGCTCACCCCCTATTACAAGGGACTCTTAACATAAATAGTAAAAAGTGGGTGTTACATTGAACCGTGACATAATGTGCACCTCTGCCTACCCCTACGGGGATAAAAGGTGTGATGTTATGTATGTATGAATGTAATACTCAATTAGTCATTAATCGAATGTAAAGTCGTGTGACATAACTCGTCTGATAATCCGTACGTAACCTTTCTCGCGGTCGCAGCCAGGTGAGAGGCAATGGGGTGTATTCCTTCATCACGGTTTAAATCTCAATAACTTTCTCAAGTCAAGGCGGCAACCTTGGCAGGCACGCCACTGTTTCCGTAATTGGATATCGACCACTAACTGGATTAGCCTTGCTGCGTGCACCCGCGGCCCGATGTAATCTAATAACATCCATAACTACACACATTTCCTTATATCCTTCTATATTTTGCTGATTTAAGCTGATGGCTTGTCTCCATGATCAAGTGGTCACAAGCGCAATTGCTGAGTGGAGGTAGTTAATATGTCGATTCGTTGCTCTACAGTATAGTATCTTTCATTGCTACGGAGAACTCCTAATTTGTAATATCGGTACTATACACTCGTGTCTATCCCTTTATAGAAACATTTCACGTGTTTCACAAAGCTGCATTAATTATTTCATGCTACCAAGTAATAGCCTTTTTTCCGTACAAACAAAATATTCACATTTATCTTTGCATTTTATTTATTTAGAAAAGAAATGTTAAATGTGCCCGATCTAAAAGTTTATTCAATTCCTCGCCGTAGGTACGCGCCGGTAGTTCAGTTTAGTCGCGACACTGAAACTTTTTCAGTTACCTACAACCTGAATTTTTAAAGCTCATAAAATCGGTCGTGAATTCTTTGGCTACGCCGTAGGGTGCTACGCCGTCAGGTGCTACGAGCTACGCAATCTCGTAACTTGCGTTGCAAAGTGGTTTCGTAAATCATTTGCACATTTTCGTTGCTTCTGTGTTATATTAACTATTAATTCGAAATATATGTCTGGGAAGTCAGGAGTGAAGAGTTGTAACACTAATTCGACATCGTTTTGGGAACGTTGACATAACAAAATTCACTAATGTGTAACAAGTGTATGACCTTTTAAGTGAAAGTTAAGGTCGTTGCTCTAAAACCAATATGTATCGATATAAATCAATTTAAACCTGTTATGAGGTTGTGTACCCCGCACGCAGCAGTTTCTCCGAGTGCCAAGTTATCGGCAACTTGCCAAGTCTGACCACTTAAGTAACAAGTTGATGCAATTTAAAACTTGGCCACTTCAAAGCTTTGGTGCAATGGCCGAGATGTATTTAAAGAGAACATTTATTGAATATTTCCAACTAGATACAAGTAGACACTTGTCTTCAGAAACTGTTCTTCAGTTTTATTGGTTTTAAACTTTTGCTGTGTTTAGTGTACATTGTACATTTTTAGTGTTTTGAGTTACATATATACTGACGGACATATAGTGACCAGATTAGCGATATATTAAAGAAGGGCCAAATTAAAAGTACCCTTAACCGACGAGCATGCATGAAAAGATTGATGACTGTTAATGAAGCGAAAGAGATATGTAAGAATCGTAGTAATTGGCGTTCCTTAGCCTCTACCTACCCCCATGGGACACAGGCGTGAAGTTATGTATGTATGTAGTTACATAGGTATATTAATGCAATTGAGGTCTTCTCATTTGGTATGATAAAACTCTAAGCTGGTAAAAACGTTATAATAAACCTTATTTCGTACACATTAAGTAGGCAAACGATAATTTATGCCCGTAATATAATAGGGGTAGTGTTTGAACCCACACCTCGGTCACCGCACCCTTTTATCGAAATACAAATGTCCTTGAGTGTATGATTGGCTCAGTACTTACAGTATGTTTATAGATGGCGATACGTGATTACATATTTCTTTTGTATTCAATTTCATGTCATTATTGGTGTCAATATCCCGCTTTATGTGTTGAATGTGGATATTGTGTGACGTGTGACTTTTTAATAATAATATACAATGAGGATTTCAAAACTTTAAAGCTATGTTTAATCGATTGTGTGCACTTATATATAAGTGTGGCAATTAAGCACATATTGCTTGAACCTACATCAATAGTGCTGAGTATACTGCATATATCTGCAAAAATAAAAAGTCGTATATTGATATTTTCTCATTAAAATGAGTTTTTATTTTTCTTCTGTTTATAAAAAAAATATATATGAGTAAAACATGCAATATTTTGTATTTTACGACGTAAAAACAATATGTCGGAAGCTATTCGTATGCTAATACAGTGTGATTTATCTAGAAGGATGGCACATTGGCATCCATGTCACGTCGAGTATGTCACGCCTCGTGCTCTTACGGGATGAACCTCGTCGGCATAAAACATTAGTTGCAGCCTTATACATAATTTAATACCATAATAAACTATGGCTCACTGCTCTCAAGGACTCTTCCAGGACATTTTATCTGTAACAGAAATTCTAGGACGTGTATTATCACTGAGACACAAAAAATCCAGTTTTATGTACAAAGTCAAAGCAATTATTCAATTATTCAATTTCAATTATTTGTCATTTATTCATTTATGTCAATTTCAACAGTGCCTAAGGAGGCACTGTTGAAATTACAATATTGAATTATCCGTGCGTCTGTTTATCAGTGAAGCTTGTAAGTAGCTGTACTTAATTGTACCTCGGAAATGAACTCATGTTGTTAGGTTCATCATCATAAATGTTCTTATCAACTCCTGTACATATTATATAAAGACATTATATTATTATTTTGAGTAACAATTTCAAATTATAAGCAGATAGTTTCTACGGTTGAATGAATTGACATAACGTTTTATACGTCCTGCTTTAAATTCGAGTTCAATATTTCGACGTTTAGCTAAACATACAAAAATCAATATTTTGTAAATAAAATTGTATACCGTAACATTTTATAGCAATAGTTTACGATGTTGTCAGTGGTTTCAAATTTAATGTAAATGCGGTGTACCTACGCTATTTATTTAATGGGTAATTCTTGTAAATAACGTTTACTACTATAACATATCTGCCCACTTCAGCTATGCATATATACAGGTCCGTACATACATATAAAACCTCACGCCTATCTCCCATAGGGGTAGGTAAAGACTATGGAACGCCAATCGCTGTAATTATTACATACTTATTTCGCTTCCTCGACAGTACTTTCATGCACATCAGAAGAGAACCAGCCTTAGCCTTAGCAGCGTCTATAGCATAGACAGACACACATTACTTAAAACTACTTAGATGACTATGACATAGAACACAAACAAACAACAACATAAAATTATTATGTACAACATATCCATCATCGTTATGTATCTAGTCCTTATGTAAAGCACATCGTCAATATTATTATAGATTCTTCTGCCGAGTCCTTTTGTATGCATCGAAGTATCGCGAGGAAGCATCCAATTTGCATCCATTTCCATACGACGCTCACTTATTATTATAACAAGGTTCTTTTATTAAAACTGCGTCGTATTTCTTAGCTCACATAGGAAATGTGAACACAAATTATGCTGTTTTCTGTATTGGAATAATTTTAATAAGTCATACTTAAAGTTGGTTCTTTATGTATAAATAAAGCTTTTGTAATAAGACAAGTCTGCCACAACCTTCCAAAACCGCTGCAACTCCTGTAAGCCGGGATCTACAGTAGATACAACCATGAAAACACCACCACTGAAGTCCGGTCGTCCCAGGGACATGAATAACTGTCTTGGCTCCCGCAATCAAATCAATCAGAAGATATAAGAGAAGAAAAAGCTATTGTTTCCATAAAAAAACCTTTGCTGATATCTTAACTGTGACATTTTACTTTTGAAGTCCTTTACGGTCACCTTGACATTAGCTTGACTCTTAATTTCAAAAACTTCATAGTCATTCATCACTGGGACAAAAACACTGAATCACTGATGCTAATGAATGATCTCATACATTGAATCTATGAGGCGTGAACATACAAACAAAACACATACTAGTATGCATACAGCACAGGGAGTCAAGGACACATTACAATCTGTTGCAGTTGATTCATATTCTGCATGTATCTCCGTATTAATATTGATGATCATATGACCTCATAAATTATACACTTTATACATTATTACAAGGTCATAGGGTGCAGAATACCTAAACCCGAACCTCAGAATACTAATCAACCTTATCAAATGTTTATGACCTACGAGAGAGCTATTAATCTCCGAACTTTAAAAGGATGTAACGTTTTATAGGGCTGTAACACTAATGGAATATTTATAAGCAGTAAAGGCGTCTTATGGTGGTCACCTAAACTGTTCATAGGGATTTATTAGGGCATGTTTTATCTGAAAAAATATGATTACCAATAAATAATGGAGGCCTCCAAAAAATTAATCAATATAGGATCTATATCAAGTAACCGATACCCAGCACTGCGTACTTAGCTAATGGATCATCCATCAATGTCTTTATAACATCAAGAAAGAAGAATACACCGACTGCCACGAGGCTCACCAGCTGTTACTCGCTGACGCCATTATCAATCCTTTTTAACGAAAAAATATTGATCACAGCGCTTTCTTTGTCACGCAATAAGGCTTAAGCCATATCATCCATGACTTGCCTTTTTTATAAAGTATGCATCTATCAAAAATATGCTGAATAAATAATTTTAAACTTTAAAGCAAGGGCGGTGTATCTCTACATTTATGGCGCTACGCCATCGTAGCCTTTCGTAGTCGTTCGTAGCCGTAGCGCTACGAATGTTCTCTTTTATCATTATACTCTATCTCTTTAGAAAGTTACTGATATAGTATGTAGCGTTAATATTTATATTTAAAGATTTGTAAATACTGAAAGTTGAATTGTTTGTGTTACAGGTAGTGTTGGTGTTCATCCTGAGTATAGCATCGCTCATCATCTACTTCATTGACGCGTCCAGGTAATACACTTTCCAAATATCCTTCGAATAAAATGCATCGCTAACAATATTAATGACTTACTAATCTTGATAATGCTGAATTCAAGGAATACGTGAGTCAATAAACTCATAATAAATGTGGTCGAAACTGTTTGCTGAATAGAGTCCTATATGTAGCTTAATGTTTATTTGTCAGCTGTGATATATTAGAGAAATAGCTTCAAGTGAACCTGTTCCTAACTGTTGTCGTGGTTAGTGAGTGTGCATGTGCTATATACCGACTGTTTGATTTCAGTGAAGAGGTTGAGCGATGTCAGAAATGGAGCGACAATATTACTCAGCAAATCGACCTTGCCTTTAACATATTTTTTATGGTCTACTTTTTTATACGAGTAAGTTGACTTTTCTTATTTTCAATCTGTTTTATTTATGATTCGATTTTGTTGTATTTGTTTGTGTTATGAGTATAATTATGCACACATTGCAATTTGCAATACATGCATGTGATGGCCAAATTATGACAATGTCTTGACGACGTCTTTTGGTGTCGAATATTACGAAATCGTTTTTTTTTTTTCAAATATAAACCAAAATTTGGTCGAACAGAAGATCAAGAGTCATTTATGTGATTCATATCAAGAAAACTAGGATATTTTTCACCATTTTTGTGTAACATCAAGAAAGAAAATCGTCGCTTAAAACTGAATCTGAAGAAACTGAAGACGTCTCATACACGTTGACGGGTGGACGCCATTACCCATCCTCTTTACGTATACACCATAAAAGAATGGGTAACGGCGCCTTCTTTGTCACAATCATCGAGTGCAACATTAGCAGCCTCGTCATTATTCAAGACGTATTTATTCTCTAAGCTTTCGTAGAGTGAGGTGCCACGAAACATGGCGGCCGATAGTCCGTTGATCCGAACGGCTTTCATCTGTCGGCCCGCTAGTGCCTTATTCGTCTCACCTTAAGGGAATTGTTGCTTTATATTGAACTTCTTCAAGGCCGCATTTAGTTGTACCAATAAAATGACGATCTAAATGCGCCCTTTTTTATTTAATGTTTCTCTTATCTCTTTCTTCTATGTGTGTTATATATGAAAGTGATAGTGATATATAGAAAATGTATACCGTGTGTTTATTTCTGTTTCAGTTTATAGCAGCTAGTGACAAACTATGGTTCATGCTCGAGATGTATTCATTTGTAGATTATTTCACGATACCCCCATCCTTTGTATCAATATACCTCGATAGAACGTGGATAGGTGAGTTATCAATATGTTTTTAATTATTTTTACTTACTATGTCATAGGTCTTTATTAATATATTTGATTATTTGATTTAGGTATAAATAGTACTATTGCTTTTCAACAATTCTAACTTGTCCAATTGTTAAATATACCATCAAATTTTTGTCACATATCTCTTTTAGCTCATGTAATAGGAGGCGAGTATAGCCGTATATTAATAATGTCATGACAATTATCAAAATTCAAATGTTATTGATTCAAACAAAATCTGTATTTTTTTAGTACTAATCTACTGTCTATATATTTAATTGTAAGACCTATTTAACGTATCTTTATCTCTGTTCCAGGGCTGAGATTTCTCAGAGCTCTACGCTTAATGACCGTGCCTGATATTTTGCAATACCTCAATATATTAAAAACATCGAGCTCAATTCGGTTGGCGCAATTAGTTTCTATATTTATATCAGTGTGGCTGACCGCTGCCGGCATTATTCATTTGGTAAGTGTTCAACGTAACACATATTGCTCTCTAGTTTTGTTAGTACAGGGTTGCTCCAATAGTGCCGGTCTTAAGATCATATTGCTTAAAACTGAGAATAACTAAACCTGCAAACAGCAAGTTTTGGGTTAAGTCCCTGAATTGCCTAAAATACAGTTGGGTTGTTTCGTTCAACAATAATCACCACTGAAATGTTCTCAAGTTATACAAAAAATAACCATGTATGGTGTCTGGTCTGCTACGACTTATAAAACTAATTATTATTGTACTTTGTAAACAGTTTGAAAGACATTTGGTAATTTATGGGTTTATGGTGTTTCAGCTGGAAAACTCTGGTGACCCATTAGAGTTCGAGAATGCCCAGAAACTATCGTACTGGACGTGTGTGTACTTCCTGATAGTCACCATGTCCACTGTAGGTTACGGTGACGTATTCTGTCACACAGTACTTGGAAGAACATTTTTGGTTTTTTTTCTCCTCGTTGGCTTGGTAAGTTTCACTTTCATCTATTTTTCTTCTGAATCTCTTTGAATTAAATTTTTAATGATTTAAATTAAATTTAAAGTCAAAATATTTGAAAGATATTTTTGCAAGGGGACGCAAGTCTCTTAATAACTTTGTTTGTAGTAGCATCTGGAACACAACATTTGTTAATTTTCAAGTAATAAAGTAGTTTCATACTTCCTTACTTACGGCTACTGAGTCGTTACGACAAGCTTGCGGTTCCTTGTATGATGCTAAATTAATAACAAAGCAAAAGGAAACATAACAAACATTTGCAGTGTAACGGTTACAATATAGTTGACATGGGACTTGCTAGACAAGTGGTTTATCGCACAGCTCGTTGAATGATTGTAAGCCTGAGTAGTGCACCACGTGTAGACGCATGATAGGATGAGGCTCGCGAGACGCCGAGCGGCCCCGCCCGGGCGGACTCCTCACCGCCACATGTGCATCTTCTAACTTCCCGGCTTCGAAGGACTATCTTTCGACTGTCGCCGACTACTCAATTTTAATACGCTTTTCTTCGAGCGGCTGCATGGGTGTATTTTGTTTTTCTTTTGCTTTGTTACGTGTTAGTACCGCGAACGTGCCGCCGGAGGATCTGTCTCGCCGCGCTTAGAGTACGGAGTGTACTGGGGACTGGTCCGAACGAGATACGTAGCGCTAGGCGAGCGCGCGCGTGTCTGTCAGTCGCGCTACAGTGTCAGTGTGGCGCCCGCCGCCTCGGCGACCCGGTGCCGCGTCCCACCCCTCCCACCTCGCGATGCATGCCGCACCACGCCTGGCTGTGTTCAGTTGCTCACATCACCGGTAGACACACACTACTTCCTTTTATTTTTATTTCGCTCCGCTACCGGCTACACTTTACGACTCAGCGTCACCATAGAGAGTATACCGATCTCAGTGTGGACATTGTCGTGCACCACTCGATGGTGTCCGCGTGCGATGCGGACCTCATGTGCGAACGACACCGTGGTCTGTTGCAGGCAATGTTCGCTAGTAGCATTCCCGAAATTATAGAGCTGGTAGGAAGTAGGTCCAAGTACAGTGGCGAGCTGAAGCGTGAACATGGAAAGAGGTATCCGTTTGATAATATAAAGTGATCGTCGAAAGCCCGGGCGCTTCATCCCGTGCCACGCTCGGGAAGAACCGGCCGAGCTCTCGGCGAGCACGTGGAATCATCACCTATCAGAAAGCTTGCTCAGTGCCGTCAGATGTATTGTGTCATCTACTCGCGTGCACGCGCGGGTCCAGGCGGCGGGCGGCGGGCGGCGCCTCGCTCGGCACCACGCACGCGTGTCGTCCGCGGCGAGCGCAGCCGCGCGGCCCGTCGGCTCGGCCAGCCCGTGTTCGCGTCTACCAAGCGTCTATACCGAATGCCCACGTTTTTAGTTTAGGTACCGGTCGAACCGATTTCTTTTTAAGTTCTGTTCATCGATTAGTTAGCGTATGTATCCTTAGGCTTTGCATGCACCCGGTCACGAGTCCCGTCACGGCTCCCGCCGCTAGCGTAGCTCGGCACGGCACCCAAGTCCCGCACACCCACACACAGCCACAGCCACACGCAGACAGACGACACTCATCGCACACAGCCTCGTGCGCGAGGGTTCGCGGGCCGGGCGGGCGGGGCGGGGCGGGGCGGGCGCGCGGGGGCGGGCCGGGGGCGGCCACTCACCTCACGGTGTTGCTGTGTATCGTAGGCTGTGTTCGCCAGCTGGATCCCCGAGATCACGGAGCTGGCGGCGCAGCGGAACAAATACGGCGGCCGGTACAACAAGGACGTCCGCCGCAGGTACCCTGCTCTCACGCCCCCGCTCCACGCGGCTTCCTGCCTTCCTACCTCTCACGGTTTCGATCTTGGTTGATTGAATGCGGAGTTTGCTAATGAAATTTATTAATCCTTCACTAGAATCGGTCTCTCGGTGCCGTGGCGCATGCTCGAAGAGTTAGCTCCCGGCGGCCGCGCCCCTCTCCCGAACTAGAGAGACAGGCGCGCGGTCGACCGACGCACTACTACATGCCTTTTTTCGTAAATTTTACTCGAGATACCGTTGAGCTTTTTAATCCTTTCTAACGAGACTAGATCTGGAGAGAGCCGATGTAAAGTTTTGTAATGCTGTCGATGAAGTAGTGTTTGGTTTGTTCGCTTGCACACGATGCCTGTCGCCACGCTGTAGCGCTAGCTCCGGCACTCGCCACAGTCCCGCGACACACAGCCAGTGCCGCGCCGCGCCGTCCCGCCGCGCCGTCCCGCCACGCGCCGCCGCGCCGCGCGGGGCGAGTCGCCGCCGCACCGCGCACGCACCGCCGTGCACCGCGCGCGCGCGCCGGCGACTCGCCCCCGCTCTCGGTTCAATCAATGTGAACGTCTTGTTTTGTCTGTCGGCGTTTAGGCGATATTTGCCAGTTGTATCCCAGAGATAATTGACTTAATCGGCACTAGACCCAAGTATGGCGGCACCCTCAAGAATGAGCGGGGACGCAGGTGAGCCGCTGTCTTCACTCCGTTCCGTTGAATGTGTTCCGTGTTGTGACATCTATTCTTCCTTTTCCTCTCTTAGCACGCTTCTGTGTTCTCACTTATCTTGGCGGGACGAAAGTCCCGCGAGTTGTCTTTGTTTTTATGAGTCGATATTGATTGTAAATTATCTTTGAATTGATTTGAGTTCAGTTGAATAGTGAACAGCAGATAGTGGCTAGTGTTATCGCTCGTCATTATAGGTATCATGATTATGTTCTGTTAGTACGTACGTAAAGTAAAGGAATGTTAACGTAAAGCTTAGTTACGGAGAGTTAAATGTTGAGTGGTACCGTACTGTAGTGCGTTGTTGGAGTTCCGGTGTGCGTTGCAAGACAAGCGAGGCGTCGACAGCCCGTCCCTGCGCGCTGTGGGCACGCGCTGTTGATGCGACGCACCCTGCCTTCCCCTCCCGGCCTGGCCTGGCCCGCGCCCTCCCGCCGTCCGCTCCGCTCCGTTCTACTCCTGCCTGCACGACTTACTGTTACTTGTACTTGTACTCTTAATGTTGACCCCTTAATGTTTTTGATATCTGTAATGTAATTTTGAGTCGACCCCCTCGGTTATTTTAGTGTAATGTATTTTCGTAAATATATATATTCATAGAGCGTGGCAAGGCTGTGTGCATTGAGGACATTTTTAACGCAAAATTAGATTAGTTTTATTGAACATATCATTTGACATGATTGACATCATCCTAGCAACAATACACCAATCATTTTATGAAAAAGTTATGGATTGAATTTGGAAACTGTTTGCAATGTTTATGGATCGTATTAAAGATACAAGGTAGACAGATTTACTGTTTATATGAATAAAAATGAAATCAGTTCCTTTGCCACACCTTAGATGAATAATAGTTGCATGATCGTGTAGACATGAGCTGTTTGCATCCTTTGGTTTATACTTTCTTATTTTCTGCTCTGTGATGATTTTCTGATACTTGTTTATATTTTATTTAACAACATTAACCTTCATTTCACTTACGGACTGTCGACTCACATTCCAACAGACGAAGTGTCCACCTAACAGTGTCGATAAGAACTTATTAAGAATTGCGACTCTGGCTCCAACATGATACAATATTATTGTAAAAGTAGATACATACATATTATATATTATGTGCAAATGTTACAAATATCCCAAATACATAAACTGTACTGAGATGCAAGCTTTTACTGTTTATATACAATTTTTATCTACACACAGTACGAAACTATATTACCGTAGCAGCTGAAGCGTAGAGTAATAAGTTGATAAGTTCAGAGAAACACGTGCCATACACTTGTTCACTATTTATTTATATAAACCACAAAGTAATTAAATCACAAGACAGAATATATGTTACTTACTGAACAGATTTAAGTAATTATTTATCTAAGTACATGATATTTTATGCTGTGTTTAGATAAGAATACACAAGCTGACTCTTTGGTAAGAGAGACCAATGCATTTGCTAAATAGTACATTGTGTATATTAGCTACTAACCAGATGACGTTTGGCTCATGATAAAATAGAAGTGTAAGATTTAAAGTTGAGTCTACAGCGCAGTAATAATTGTCTTTGGCAAGCCTACCGAACAGTCAGCATGTCAACATGTAGCTATTCAAGTCATTACAACACAAATATTTCTCCTCCATGCAAAGTAATGCTATTATTGTTGTATGTCCCCCTTCAGACACTACATATGTCCTGCAAGCGACCTCAACAACCCCCTCTCCATAGCCGTCGTCTCATTTTATTTTATTTTTTAGTGTGGTAGACAGTTACACAAGTCCTGAACGAAACTGAGCTTTCTAGATATTAACGTTCATTTATTTGTGGCCGTACTTAAATATAGAATTCCCATTTTGAAGGCCTAATGTTTGCCAATTATACAACAGTTATGTCAAAGATTAAATGTTTCAAAGAATTACACGAATACGGAACACAAACTAATGAACTTATAGATTTAATATATGGACGTTTTAATTTGCAAACTACGTCATTGTTTTATACAAAATCTGCTATAATTAAATGTAGCAAGCGTCATTGACAAGATGTTGTATTCATATAAAATTGGCGATAGAGAAACAATGGCGTCGTTATTGTATATGTAGCTTCTCTTCACGCTTCTATCACTTACTGTTTTGTTTAACCCTGCAGTGACCTGTTTCTTTTCAATATTTTATTACTTACCAATTACTTCCATCTGGTCCCAGGTGTTAAATAAGACTTCAAATTGCTGTTACTTCTGTCTTTTCCTTCTTCTACTTTTAAGATATGCTTCTTGAAAATTTGCTTTTTAAAAGAATCAAGCCAATGTAAATGATTTACTGTTTTAACAACACGAAGCTTAAAAATAATGACAATTTTGCAATTTTCCAATACTTAAGTTATTTTCAAACTTACAAGCTTTGAGATTTTCTGAGAACTCGCTTCTGAAGCTTCTTTCTTTGTTTTTCAAAATGCAAATTGGTTTCGTAGTTGCACCTTGAGTGAAGCGGAGTGGGTCGGTGTTATAACATGCTTGTACGGTTTCAGGCATATTGTGGTCTGTGGACACATAACTTACGAGTCAGTGAGCCATTTTTTAAAAGACTTCCTACATGAGGACAGAGAGGATGTAGACGTCGAAGTTGTTTTTTTACACAGGTATGTATGAACATATTCACTTTATTATAAGTATATTTTCTACTACTTAAATCAGTTAATGAAATGAAACAAGATATAATTCTAAATTCACTTAAGTTACATCAGTATATCTTATACTTAACTGAAGAAAATGATTGCTGCGTACCTAACTGTTACAATATTTCACTATGGCAGCTAATATACGATAGAAGAATATTGTAAACACTTAAATTTTAACTAGAGACAAAGAGACAAGCATCAGTTTTTACATGTAGATAGAATAAATATGATCTACTGTATAACGTTTAAAATATTCTTCTACGTACTTACTAAGTTACTTAATTGATGTGTGACGCATTGTTCAGTATATTGACATCCGAATATACTGAAACATATAGTTGAACGAATATCACATAAGCAAAGTAAAGGATGTATCCTTGGTGGCAATGACAAGTGAGTGGGTAGGTGCGGCCCCTGGCGTCGCATCGCGTGAGACTTAGCTTGTGCCAGTGTCGAGGGTGGTGTGTCATGTATGCTCCGACGACGCTTTCAGAAAAGAGCCCGACCTTGAGCTGGAAGGTCTCCTCAAGCGTCACTACACCACCGTCGAGTTTTTTCAGGGTACAATGATGAATGCCGTCGACCTTGAACGAGTCAAGGTTAGAAAACAACCATAGAGCATTAGATTAACGCACGGCCGTAATTCTCATTGACGCGTCTACGTGAATCAGTACTTTTTTTTATTTATTTATATGTGCATAAAACAGAACTGTTTCTTCTGTAAAGATGCTGTTTCATAGTCACAGTAGGTATTGATCACTTTGGTAACGTTTATCTTGTGATTATTTTGATGCAATCATTGCTTCTCACGGTGCTGCGAGGCCGCCGAGGCGACCCCGCACCACCACACGACTGCGTATTTTCGTACTAGAGTTGCATGGTAAGGCCACGCCAGGCGGCGGACTGTCCGGTAACCATGGCAGGTTGTTAACTGAGCGTTCATGACAGGAAACCGCCCGACCTGGAGCTCGAAGGCCTGTTCAAGAGGCACTTTACCACTGTGGAATTCTTTCAAGGCACCATTATGAATCCAATCGACCTACAGAGGGTGAAAGTAAGTAAATGTGACACACACAAAAATAAGAAAATGGGCGTGGTGTCGGTTTGACGATGTAACATATTGTCTAGAGTAGAGCGATGCTCGTAACCTATCGCGCGAGGTTGTGGCGCGGCGCTCGGTACGATGTCGGAGCCCGTGAGCCCGCACGCGACGGAGCGCCGCGCGGGACTGTGCTCTCTGCCCGCCCACCATGTGTCTGATTGGGTGTTGTTGCAATGCTGGCCCGTTTGTCACTTCGATATCGATTTTCTGTACGATTCGATCGCAATATTGGCATTAATGGCTGCCGAAGAAAGGGTTTCCATTTCAAAATTAACATTTTTATAAGTAGTCGAGTACAGTTATCGATTGTCGATATTTTTGGGTAAGTTGGCATGGCTTATGGAATGGACGCGCTTGTCTGCATTGTACTTCTTCTTTGACCCCACCTGCTTCTTACGAAATGATTACCACATAATTCTATTGATAAAGTCGTAAGATCGTTTGATGATTTCTTGTGATCACATAATTGCCCAAATACTAAAACAATTGAAATCATAACGACGTGGTTTTCATTTTTTATTTTCAGCAAATGTTCTGCATGCGCAACTTTCACGCTTTTGTAAACCTCAGCTTGATAGAACGTAGTAGTACTAACATACAACCTTTACTAATATGTGTCTCTGTCTTTCCTCCTAACAATTGATGTGTTCTAACTCTTGGTAACTTAGTGTGTTCTCGTTTGATTGGTAAGTGTTGTGACCCATCAATGTTTATTGCTTTATGCCCCAAATACTGCATTGATATATGTATAATTGATATATCCAAGCAATACGATGCTTGTGAATGCAAAGTAATTATAAAGTCTATTGGACCATGCTGCAACTCTTGTGGCTTCCAATTCAATTTGTGAGCCCTCCTTGTAAATCAATGTTACCTGGTTGTATCCTCAGCTAAAGCTTAACACAAACGTGTAAGCTTGTCATGTGGATGGTACCTACAATCAGATGCTTAAAAGTGATCGTGGAACATTAACTTTTAGGCTCTAAACCCATGTTGAAGTGATCCAACAGTAATTTACCTGTGACTACGTCTATCACTTTAAAGCTTCATTCCCACCATCTTAATGACAAGCGCTCTTCAACAAGATGTTATAACTGGTGTAACATGTAGGTACATGAAGCGACGCGTGCCTGGTGCTGGCCAACAAGTACTGCCAGGACCCCGACGCGGAGGACGCCGCCAACATCATGAGAGTCATCTCTATCAAGAACTACTCCGACGACATCAGGGTCATCATACAGCTGATGCAATATCATAATAAGGTTCGTATTCCACATATCTATGAATATACTATGTATATTTCTATGCGAGTCTCCAGGTTTCTACATAGATGTACCAACATTTTGCAGGCCTACCTCCTAAACATTCCATCATGGGACTGGAAGCAAGGCGATGACGTCATCTGCTTGGCGGAGCTGAAACTCGGCTTCATCGCGCAGAGCTGCCTCGCGCCCGGCTTCTCCACCATGATGGCCAACCTGTTCGCCATGCGCAGCTTCAAACGGTCAGCCTCCTCCTTTACTACAGCACACACTATAAACTACCCTCGAGTACTGTCAGAGACCGACTCCCACCCTCGGCCGGATAGCGCTCGTGTCGCTCTCTGAACGTACTCGGGTTCTAACGATACTATGCGGCATTTCCACAGTCACAAGAAATGGCTATATGGACTAATGACTACATGCGAGGTACCGGCATGGAGATGTACACCGAGACACTTAGTTCCACGTTTATCGGGATGCCGTTCAAACAAGCCGCAGAGTAAGTGGCTGCGAACGAGACGCTTTCAATAACGTGACACGAGACCACGTCACACACACCTTTTATACATTACCAGTGTTTGAGCAACCCATCGTGATGACAGGACAATCAATACTAACCAACTACGAGATGCATAGCTTATCATTTCAGTGTTTTTGTTTGCGAGCTTATCGTCTGTGATTTTTGAATAAGTATCGGTGTTCTTTTTTCGATTTCATTATCATAGGTACTGCACTGAATAACGTTTTAGCTGATAACATGTAAAGAAAATAATATAGGGCCATGATAATACTAATGCCTTGTAGCAGCCCACAGAGATGTTAATATAGCAGCGCACTGGTTACAGGAAGATTTTACTAGAGTCTCCAAATGGGCACATGATGCTGGACTGGTTATTAACTCCAGTAAAACTAAAATAATACATGTCCATTCAAGCCACTTGAAGCTAATGATGCCTTTTAGTATTGTATCACATAGTCACGGTTGCCTTCACTCCACGCGGCGAGGCGCGTGTCGCTGCGAGGAAATTGACCAGGTAACGCACCACACGTACCTAGGACTAATCGTAGACGACCGTTTCAACTGGTCTTTTCATGTCAACTTAGTGTGTGACAGGTTACGGGCAATATTGGCTAAGTTCTACATATTGAAACCGAAAGTTCCATTTAAAACACTACTTAGCATGTACATGGCCTTGGCGGAATCAATTATTGCATACGGAATCACAAGTTACGGGCGTACCTTTAAAACACTTGTTGAAAAGATAACCAAATTGCAGGTTCGATTTCTAAAACTTATGGTCCCGAGTAAAATAAAAGACAAATGCAGAAATAACGTCACAGAATTATTTAAATATTGCAAAATATTACCTGTACAGTTTCGTTTTGATCTAGCCTTCTTGAGTGAACAATTTAATAATAAAAGTATTCAAGTACCCATTTCGCATAAAATAATCACTAGGAATATTACGAAAAATAAATTAATAATACCTCAAGTTAAAAATTATTATGGCAGACGAACCTCTAAATTTATAATCCCCACAATAATTAATGAAATTCCACAAAATATCAAATACGAAATTAACTCCAAAAACTATAAACAGAAATATAAAAAATACTACCACAGTATCATAAATAACATAGTCTAAAATTATTCACAACCAAAATGTAGGAAACAGCCTGTATATTACAATTTTTTAAGTTGACGAGGACCGGTTACATATTGAGAACTAATAGAAGACATAATGCCAATGTAGCATATTGTGGGGTAGACTGCAAAAGTTTAACATTGGCTAGTGCCGTGTGTGTCGGTATCGGTTTCTTTGAGTACTTTGTTTCTTTGCAATTTTAATGAGTACGTTTATGCTTTGCTCATGGATGTTTACTGTTACTCGTAAAATATGTAATGTATCTAAAATCTTTGTCACTTATTATATTAGCATAATTGTCACACTGAATAGGTTTATATATTATATATTATTATATTATTTATAACATAAAACTGCGAATGTGTGAGTACTAATACAAACCAGCTGTGGTTTAATGGTGCAAAAAAAAAATTTTAAACTGTACTGAAATGTAATAATAAATAAAAAAAAAAAAAAAAAAAAAAAAAAAATTGTGAATAGATGTATAATATAGCCGACGACGGCGAGCAGCGAGCAGCAGATCCGAGCGGACGCGATAGCCTGTCGAGGTGGCTACGACTAACATAGCACGAGCTTTAGCGAATCCTATTGGTTGATTGCAGTCCCCCGACACACAAGCTTGGCAGAACGATTACCTGCAGGGTACGGGCTGCGAGATGTACACGGAGACACTGTCGACCTCCTTCACGGGAATGAGCTTCCCGCAGGCGAGCGAGTAAGACCCCTCGATCCTTGGGCCGCCTGCACCGCACCGTAGACACTGTGTGCCGACTTGCTAACCCTAGCTATACCTGAGTGTGCACTAATATCTGATAACCTAGTCACCGGTAGCCTGGATATCTTAGTACTAAAATTATTCTCTAATTTTTCAGAATAGATTGTGCATGTTGAATGGGTAATTTATTAGACGATAGTGGTATGTATTCTATTCTAGACTTGTACGAGCCGTGCGGTCTACATCGACATCTTTTCTTATTATTCCATTTATCAACTGATTTAAATTTTAAATTACACCCCGACATTTGATCACCTTGATTGGTTCATTTCAACGAAACTGACAAGATCAAAGAATTACTTCAGTGCAGTAAAAGAAAATTGTAAAAATTCTGCCATTGGTATATATCATTGTCATGACGCACTTCTTGGGCTTAATTGCACATTTTTATATTAAAACTTTTTGGAAACTATCATCAACTTACAGTTCAATGATTGTATTTGGGTACTTCATGGTTTCTGGTCTTCTATTTATACCGCTTATTACGTTTTATCTACATGGTAGGAATATATACGTACGTATAAATACACTATATCTATATTTATCAGTAGAACTATAATGTGCATGAATAATACCTGTTACATGTATGTATAAAAGTATATAATTATTTATATAAATTCAATAGTGCGCTTCAGTATATAAAAAGAGCTTGAGATGTTTAAAAAACGATCCTTTCTAGTTGTCGTCTGTAGCATGTGATTGTATTCAAATATTATTTCTTATTTATAAAGTAAAATAAAGTAATGGTTAGTACCATTTGATGTTGATGCATACATTTGTATCTGCCAGTAAACCTGCTGGCCGAAGACACCATAACAATGAGGTTGAACTTTATTAATACTAGTCATTAGAAAGCAAGTTGGTAACTTGATCTGAATAGTAATAAAATTAAGATTTCTTGTTGTACCTATATCCCTACAAGCTTTAAATTATATCTTAGCTTTTGCAACTAAGTAAACAGAAACTCGTAATGAATAAAATATAAATGTAGAAGGTTTCGGTACATCATGTGACTGTCCTCCAGATTATGCTTCACGAAGCTCAAGCTGCTGCTGCTCGCCATCGAGATCAAAGGCGAGGAGGGAGCCGACAGCAAGATCTCCATCAACCCGCGCAGTGCCAAGATACACGCCAACACGCAAGGCTTCTTTATAGCGCAGTCTGCTGACGAGGTCAAAAGGTTAGAACTCCCTGCCCCTCCATTTTCTTCCAAAACTAATACTCCTAGCTGCTGGTAGACTCTTACTTTACGCCTGAACAGTGCAAGGAACTTAGCGACTCTTCAATGTTCGTAGTCTTTCAATATAAGAGATTCGTTTGTTTTGATAGCTTCCTGCTGTCGTTGACTACTCTCTTCTAATGACTGTTTGTCGCCGAAGTCGTAGCGTCTCTCTCCTTAGTACTTACTACAACTATTATCATTCCAGAGCTTGGTATTATTGCAAGGCCTGCCACGAGGACATCAAAGACGAAACGCTCATCAAGAAGTGCAAATGCAAAAACTGTAAGATCACTGTATTGCTATCATTACTAATACATTGCATTCTTTAGCGAGACAATCTGTACAGAATTCTGAACATACAATACTTTAAGCTAACTTTCTAAACTTGAATACTATTCTGTGACATTCTTTCTGGAAATATAAATGTTGTAACGAAGTGTGTCCCGTAATATGTGTGTCACTACACAAGTGTACTACACGTAGGCAGTAGGCCCCGGCCCGTTGGCCGGCTCGCACACAGACTCGCTCGACTCACTCTCTGTTTTCTTTCTACGTGTGAGACATTAATGAATATTGTTCGGCTAAACTTTTAGTGACCGCGCACCAGCGGAAGGTTGGAGCCGACATAGGTAACTTGCACCACACCTAACCTCACAACTTGACGTTTTCCGATATTTATTTTTCGTGTCTATAATTTTGTTGAGTTGCTTTAGTGGTGTTGCGTCCGTACCTCACTGACTGGATCGGCTGCAAGGCATTATCTTGACCCGTGCTCGTTCACACCCTATACTTAGCGATCATTGTGTATGTCCGCTCGCTCGTGAATGGATTCCGCCACAAGATGAAGCACTCCGACACTTCACCATTTTTCTGCCTTTTGAGATATTATTCGCTCTGTTTCTGTATCGATTGAGAGGATTTAGTGCATCATACAATACCGCTTAATATTCACACCCAATCAGGACTTGTACATAGTACTTATGAATTGATCACACAGCAATCACATGTCAAAATTATTTAAAGATAGCTGCGTGCAGCTCGCAATGCGCTGCGACTCTGCAGGAGTTGAACACGATTGCTATGATGCACTTCTGAGCCCAGCACAGACAGTACTATGCATGTAAACAATAATACGTAGACCTAAATACCGCAAACTGCAAGTGCACCGTCATGTCCCCGACACTTAGATGTATAATACTGTACGTACTTATTCGTAAATATGAATCCACGAAAGCATGTCTCAGAACGAAAGGAGTGAAGATCTCAAACTGCTGTTAAGATTGCCCATCGAGAGTGAGCTTGGAGGACAAAGACTTTGAGGACAGTTCCGGCTTGTCTGTGCTAACGACAGGGACTAACACAGGGAGGGAACTGAATGCAGTCGCGATCCATCATATTCATCCACGCTTTGACAGAATCAAATTCAACCGCTCTCAACACCGATCGACATGACACATAGCCTCACTGCACTGAATTTGATTCTACCAAACTCATTAACACAAATAAAACCATAAATGCTAGGAGCGTACATTCGTATTGTCAGTGTTTGGATTTTTACAGATGTTGGAATGATGATGATGCAGACTGGGATGGTGAAACAAAGTCTTAATACGTACCGTGCTTGTCTCGACGGTACGGAAACGAAATAATATATACCGTATTACCGTACTTACACACGTATAGTTTGTTTTGCATCAACTAACCATTGCTATGGTCGAATTGATACTGGGCTACAATATACCATGCTAATACACGATAAAACGACACACGCAACTAGTATAGCGCAGCTAGGCTACGACACTATATTAACTACAGCTCGCTTACTACGCGACATAACCTAGGTAGCGACTTTCAGCTCTCAGTTGGACACTGTCACGACTGCCGCCATGTAGGAGCTGGCCTCTATTACTGCCGGCCGGGCGATGCCGCGCGCTGCAGTCCGGCCGGTACTAATAAGGCCATATTATGCGTCTCCATCAACTACTATTCCCTACTGAGAGAACTCTAGCTTTGCATCTCTGTCTGCATAAGAACTGTTATTATTTGCGTATCTTCTGTTCCACCTATTACAATTAAAACAGGTTAAATTGAATTGTGTAACAAGTGAGCTTAAACGTATTGTTTCTCGGTTCAGTGGCTACGTTCAGGAAGGGCGTACGAGCCGTCCAGATGGTTGGCAGGGCAAGTACGTAACCTTAATGTGTATAAGATTCAATGTACATGTCAATGTGATGTTTGTACGCGACATGTGGGGGGGTGACTCCTGGCCACCGATCGCTAATAGCAAACGTGTCCTGTTTTATCATTGTCTTGTCTTATACGTTTCTATATGTGCATTATACAGCAGTTAGATGTTTGCCTCTCTATTAGACGATATTAAAACATCGAGAGACATTATGTGATGTCGTTTATTTATTTTGGTGTTGTTGTTATTATATTATTATTATATCTCAAAATATTTTTCTAGGAGTATTTTGATCCCTGATTTTCTGCATCGACATAGTCCCTCAGATATTGATGTTGTGAAGTAATAGATTTTACAAGAAATTCATTTATAATTTTATTCTGCTTAAGAGTTGAAAAGATGAGTTAATGAGCCCCTGCATAGGGAACGTTTAGATGCTCCCGCCTCGATAGAACCGCGCGGACCTAGCAGTCGTTAGCTGCTGCGTCCCAATCTGCCGAACAATTTGGTATACTCGCCTTATTCTTATCACATCCCTGTAATATTTACAAACTCTAATTTCATTTGAGCCTTCAGTTCTTAGTACGCCAGTGCCATTCTAATCACACCATGTTTTCATACTCGCATATCCTTTGCATTAGCCATGGTAATCCCTAGGGTTCTAAATCCATTTAATTCAAGATGTGAGACATAATATTCTAGCACGTAGAGCTTGTCTACTAGTTAGAGACTTTCGTTTTGTGTGTCGTTTGTATCCGTAGCTTTATGTTTGTTGCATGCGTGGTGGTAGGTATTGTTGTATCCTGTAGCTTTAATAAGTAGCCGTGATTAATATTTTCTTGTTTACTAAGTAATTTGACTGTGTATCGGTTTCATCTTTAGCTTACTATGGCGTTTCTCTCTGGACGGATACGTCTAATAACATCGTGCTACTATATCTAACACTAGAAACAAAACACGTTATTTACTAATCTATGCAATTCAATATCAAATATGCTAATTGCTTTCAAATATTTGGAAAGATGAAACCGATGATTGTATACTGAAGTGATCTGAGTCTATTTGGACAGACCGGGCTCACGCTGTACTATACGCGATGTGCTGTAGGAACTGTATTTACTGAGTGGAGTGGAATGCGAACTTGTGCTGATGTTTTGCAGATGATCACCATCCTCCCCCCACCTTCACGCCGCCAGAGTTGCCCAAGAAGGTCCATGTTCGAGGTACATCTCAGGCTCCGAGCCGAGTGTTTTTTTTTTGTTTTCTTTTAATCATCGGCCCACTGATCCATTTGACCGGCAATATGCTTCGTCCCCGGTTACCGGAAGGTACCGTGCACCTAGTTGCTTTGTCACGCATTACTTCATAGCGCGCACTGACAGTGGCGGCCGGCCCAGCCCCGGCCAGCAGTAGTTACACGTCCCGCTGCCGCTCCGCAGAGCGACACTTCTAAATTAACAGCCTCACATTAAATTTCACAAAAAGTCCCGAATAACTAAATTGTAATGAACACGAATCAAAATCATTTTGTTTTTATTTTACTTTTGCATTCACTATTTCAATGAGAAACGAGTGAACAATGATTGAATTGTTTCATCGATCTGTGCTTCTTGGTATACTCTAAAGCGGATGTATTATCATTTGTGGTTTGTACCCCTCTGCCGCGCATTGCAAATATTCATGGCATTGCATTTATTTGTCTGAATGATTAAATACCTACCATCTTTATTAAAAGAGTTGCCAATTCGTGGATGATATTACTGTCTACTAGTGTTACCAGTTAATAATACAAAATATCTACCTATACCCAAATCAAACAAATCTTGTCCAAAATTGGCAACGCTAAAGTGAATGCTATGTGGGTACATTTATGCTTTTGTTGTAGAATATCGATTTCAAATTAATAATTTTATAATAATTGTAAGTGTACCTCAGTAACTTCCAATTGTATCTTAAATATAAAATTCTGAGGCTGACATGACACTGGTCAAGTCTCTTAATATTAGAATAAAATAAAATCAATTTCAAATTTTTCTACGTGCATTCAGTAACTTTTTAAATTAGTTAAATGTTTGAGAATTGAAGTAAAGTAAAAGTAAGAAACGTTAAATAAAAAGTAAACTCACGAGCTTTGCTACTTCTACCACACGTCCGCGTTGAGTAATATTTCCGGATAAATCTTAGTTATTGCCTTTCAGGTGAAATTGCGAGAGAAAGAGGGGAGGATACTAGTTGTAAGTATTAGAATTAGAATATCAATAAAATAAATATTGTGTGAATTGTTCTAGCACCCAATATTTATTTCATTGGAGGAAAATATATTTTCATAAGGACATTGGTCCTTCCTTCCTTCTTTGGGTAATAAGAGGACATAAGCATTTTTAAAATAACAATGTATCACAAGTCTATCTAAGACTAAAAAAGTGTACGTCCCCGTAAGAAAAATGAAAATGCAACTTAATATGTTGCTTGATCACAGCTAACTTTAATAAATGCAAACTCCTAAACCAACAAGGAACTTTTAAAAGACGGATAAAAATTCTTGTTCAGTAATAAATCGCAACCATCGGAGTGCGGCGCCGACAACGCTGCTGTCTCCGAGCGCGAACCAGCTGGTGAACACCACCACCACGAGGCAGGTCAACAAGGTGAAGCCCAACGTCAACAGGGCACCACCGGACACGTGAGTCGCACACACATTACATACTCATTCGTTTTCACTAATTTATCAATGTCCTCGAGTGAGGATACGTGATGCAGATTCATTTAGATTATCTTCTTTTCAAATTGTAATTTACAAACGTGATAACATCATTGCTGCCCTTTTAACATACTTAAAGATCCTTAAAGAAGTTCAAACACCCAGTAGTTCAAATTAAACTTAGTTTAAGGGGAAACTCTTTCAATCACGTATCAACACTCTTCATGAAATAACGCTATAATTGTTGCTTTCTCTGGAGCCAAGCAACACAACCCGTGTACTAATTATTTCAAGTCCTATCTTATGGTCAAGAAACGGCTTCAGAAACTTAGAAACTAGCCCGTTCCAACAATCCCCAACTTATAATATTAATATTAAAATATGAATATAAATCTTAGCTATTAAAGTCTCTTCTTCTATCCCTAATTTCTCTATCTGTCGCGGCTTCTTATTCAAGTATTTAAATTATTTTTATTTTAGCACAGTGTGCACAAGCACTAAACTGATATTTACCTGACCGCATTTATTTCCTTTAAAAAAAGAACGGAGACGACTCTTTGACCCTGTGTTACAGGAATCCCCAGGATCAAGATACCAATTACCAGGCCTATCACCTTGCCTACGAAGTGAAAAAACTCATGTAATTGAAAATTATTCAGCTAGATCATTTTATTATCAGTAGTTTTGATATTTGCAAAGTACTTGAATTCTTTTACACGAGTTAAGTCAGCAATGTGTGAATGTTGCCTACATTGCGTCCGCACTGCACGGTCCCCGGACTCGCCAGTGCTGACATCTGCGCAGACTTTCCTCGACAAGTTCGTAGCGAGTAGTGCTTGCCTCACTAGTCAGATATTTTAGTTCGAATACGTAAAACAAATTATTTTATTGTTACCGTATACTGCACTTGAATTGAGCACGACACATCTACAGCATGTTTATGTCACTTTATGTTTATACACGTGATATTTATGTCTGCGATGCATATTCTTGTACATTTGTAGTTTAGATATTGTCATTGTCCGCAGTGCCTACAACACCTACAGTAGCTTTAAATTGTTCCACTTGTAATATAAATTAACTTCAATTATAAGTTAATTCTAGTAACAATCCGATACCAAGTCTAATTCAATCAATATAGTACTGCCCAAAATCCCCCCCATTGTAGTGTATTAGATACTATTATCTTCTGTAGAGGTGCTATTCTTATTTCTTAACTCTTTATACATTCGACCCAGTAACCTACCCAGTAACAGAGATTTAATTTGTTCCCCTAAACCTCTCAAATTCTTCTATTAGATTAAAACTGAAAAAGATAAAAACGAAAACTATAAATGATTTACATAACATGTAACTTGGACACAAATTGCATGTATTTTATGATCGCGGTTTCTAATTGTGATATTTGCACAGGCCTACGAGTAGAAGCAGTGGTGGTAACCAAAACAGCAATGGCGTCAGCCTGCCCGCGGGCCTGGCTGATGACCAGTCGAAAGATTTCGACTTCGAAAAGACTGAAATGAAGTATGACTCCACTGGAATGTTCCATTGGAGCCCTGCGAGGAATTTGGAAGATTGTATTTTAGTAAGTACCTGTCCTAGTTTAACTTAAAACCTTGAAACCAAATTAGCTTTGGAATAATACATAGTTCTAAATTAAGATTTAAGCTCTAACTTTAGAAGAGCTAGAGATAATCTGGTTTACTTTTTGCAACTTATTAAAACTCCTCTCGTTTAATATTCTTATCTTCTACAGGACCGAAATCAGGCGGCCATGACAGTTCTGAACGGGCACGTGGTAGTGTGTTTGTTCGCGGACCCTGACTCGCCGCTCATTGGGTTACGGAACCTGGTGATGCCGCTGCGGGCCTCCAACTTCCACTACCACGAGCTCAAGCACGTCGTCATCGTGGGGAGCGTCGACTATATTAGGAGAGAGTGGAAGATGTTGCAGAATCTACCAAAGATTTCTGTTTTGAATGTGAGAAATTACTTCTTACATTGCATAATAAATTTTTTCTGCGACCATTTTTCTAACGATATGTCATGTTCTACAGGGTTCACCGCTAAGCCGGGCTGACTTGCGTGCAGTGAATGTGAACTTGTGCGACATGTGCTGTATCCTGTCGGCGAAGGTGCCATCAAACGATGACCCGACGCTGGCCGACAAGGAAGCTATCTTGGCTTCGCTGAACATCAAGGCGATGACGTTCGACGACACGATAGGAGTGCTGAGCGCCGGCGTCACCAACGGCAGCAGCGCGGCGCCGCCCCCGCCTGGCGCGCCGCCCGCGCCTGTCTTACTGCAGCGCAGGGGGTCCGTCTATGGTGCCAATGTGCCTATGATTACTGGTTAGTCACATATTTCAATTTAACTCTCTTCTGCAATAATATCTTCTTTAACAACTCTGGACTTTCAACTTTACAATTTCCCGTTTTCCCACAGAGTTGGTGAACGACAGTAACGTGCAGTTCCTGGACCAGGACGACGACGATGACCCGGACACGGAGCTGTACCTGACGCAGCCCTTCGCGTGCGGTACAGCCTTCGCCGTCAGTGTACTCGACTCACTTATGTCCACCGTACGTTGACACAACATATTGTATTCTTTAGTTGATTGCGAAGTGCGTGTTCATTTTAAATGAGCTTGTATTTGTTCCAGACTTATTTCAACCAAAATGCCTTAACGTTGATTCGCTCGTTGATCACGGGCGGCGCGACGCCAGAGCTGGAGCTCATCCTGGCCGAGGGCGCGGGGCTGCGCGGCGGGTACTCCACGCCAGAGAGCTTAGCTAATAGGTAACCGCACAATACAAGCATAGCTTCTCTCTTATAATATGTATACGATGAGTTTGGCCTAAATAAAAAGGCGATTTTCTCCAGAACCCACAGATCCTCTGTTGACTAAAACGCTTATTACCACGTTTACAGCTCGTTCGGTCCTTCATTAATGTATTTTGATTGTTCTCAGGGATCGGTGTAGAGTGGGTCAGATCTCGTTGTATGACGGTCCACTGGCGCAGTTTGGCGAGGCTGGCAAGTACGGCGACCTGTTCGTGGCGGCGCTCAGCACGTACGGCATGCTGTGCATCGGCCTGTACCGGTTCCGAGACACTTCCTCCTCCTGCGACGCCAGCAGCAAGCGATACGTCATCACCAACCCGCCCGATGACTTCTCGCTGCTACCTACCGACCAGGTACTGTGTGACTATACATGACGTGGTGTCGCGAGGCTGGAGTATGTATGTACTGACGTGATGGATGGCGCAGGTGTTCGTGCTGATGCAGTTCGACCCGGGCGTGGAGTACCGGTCGTCGCGGCGCGCGGCGGCGGGCGCGGGCAAGGACGACGCCTCCTGACTATTGCTGTGCAGCGCCCTCACGGACGGGCCCTACTCCTACATCTAGGCAGTAGGCCCCCGCCCGACACTCCCGCCCCTCCCCCCGCCCTCACCCCGCCCACTCCCGCACTCTTCACTTCGACTCTTGGGTAAACGTCCACGTACTATTGATTAGATTTTGTCCTGACTTCTTTAGTCGTGAATGAGAGTGCTGCTACCTCTACTCTATCCCGTTTTGTTTTGTTTTGTCGACAGTATATGTTAGTATTCTGAGTTTAACACTTCCTGCACAGCAATCTACACTCCTCAAACGCACTCTTGTATAGTCTAGCATTCGTTTGTTTAGCAGAATATACTACGAAAACAATGAAATAACGAAACTTTAAAGTCAAATATTAACTTGTTTATGAATGGTCTACTTCTACAGCGACTGGTCTCACAGTGCGTAGAACTTTAATCAGTTGAGAATACTATCTAAATACATACTAATTTGTCACGACAAGGCAGTCGATAGAGGCCACAAGAGAAGATAGAATACGAGCTGTAAGCAGTAAAGAATTACTAGAAAGCGCTTAAGAATATAGAAAAGCTTTCGATGTGTAGGGTTAAGACGGTAGAAGGAGTTCAAGTTCGGTAAAACGCTGTTGTTAACGAGTATAAAGTATTTAAAAAGTTCTAAAATATTTAAGACAACAGTAGAGAGTCGATTTGAAAGGTTAAATGGCACCTCACACCAGCTATGTTACCTGTGTATACCGCAGTACGGCGCTGATGTCAACTCTGTCGAGGTACGTGCATGTAACAGCCCGAGCCCCGCGCCCCAGTGGCGCCACCGCGCGGCTCGCGTCAGGCCGCCGGCCTCGACGTGCTGACACCAGCCATACACGATGCACGTTTGACTCATATCAAATATCGACACGTTATACCAAATACAACGATCTTCAATATTGATAATTTTAATGCAATACGGTGATGGTTTAGTTATAGGATTTGTTTATTAAGGTGTTGGGATGTAACAAACACATGTGCACACACATTATATATCGACTGTGTCCTGACCACACCTCTTTGTCTTGCAACAACAGTAGTTCTTCTCACATCCCTAGTAATATCCAATGCAGCGAGTCAAATATTCCAAAGAGCTACGATTGGATCAGAACAACTGTTGTATGTGTATCAAGTCGTCACTTCTTCTGACGGATACTTCTACAAACTGTTGTCAAACTCTTAACGCGACAGTTTGTCTAGTCTTCTTTCTTTCAAATATATCTTCAACTTCTTGTTTCCTGAAGGCTCTTCAAGTAATTGTAAGCAATGCTCAACGAGAGGAACCTTTTAAACTTTTAATTGCATGACAACATCTCGTGTATATGGACATAGGTGTAGGCTATCGCTTTTCTTAGAATATCCATTCCTTATTCAGTAGTTTTTTTTCTGTCACGTTTCACGTAATTAAGTGCTACTTATAGAGCTGAAATATAGACATATTATAGCATTTAATGTTATTCATCGACTGATTGTTAAGCACATCGCATCATCATCAATACTTTGTGATTGTACCAAGTTATTTAGTCACTATTGTTTAAGTTTTTAGATGTTTAATTTTTTCCATGGGTTCACATTGAATTCATTATTTAGTTATAAGACACTCTGCCATATTCAAAAGTGCACGTATGGTAGTAGTCTGCATACAGTTCCATTGCTCATTGTTTATCTTCTATTTTTATTACATTTTTATATAATCTAAGGTTAGACAACTCGTTGAATATTTTCATGCAGAATCGTACTTCCACGTAACCTTTCAGACAGTTGAGAGAGAACGAATCTACCCAAGTTGACGCGTTATTTCACCTTGAAATCTGCATAAAAGTATTTTCAACTGTTATATGAACATAGTAACTTCCAGCCTCACCTTATAGTACCACGTTTTTTGTTTTATTTTTATTTTAATAAAATTATATTATGCTATTTTTTTTCTTTTTATTTTCTTTTATGTTTTTCCTAATATTTGGCGGGGGGATTGTCAAAGTGGACGTGATATACGGATGGCGCTGCACATAAATATCAATGAACTGAAACAATTAATATAACTACAAAACGATGCCATTGCGAGATTAGTTCAACTTCGAAGATGGTTTTTTGTTTGCGAGGACACCGAGTGCGAAGTGTAATTTTGCTGTAAATGTGTGATATTATTTTCGAATCGTTGTTAAAATAGAGAGGCTTCTGAAGCCTGCGATGTATTTAGTGTTAACTCCGGGTGCTTTGACGATTGTGGACTCTCATAGTTTACTATGTTGATTGTATTAGATAAGATACCGTAGCCGGCTGCACTCCTCCTCGCGCTCACCAACGTTCAGACAGCATTCGGCAGTGCAGTTGGTTAGAGGTCCTTTTTTTAGAATTTATTAGGCATTAGTTAACATTGCCTCACCAGTTAGAATCATTACAGTACCTCGACTAGTACGTAATACAACGTAACGCAATAATTACTACTAACATACAAGATGTTTGATGAATGACGAACCTACGATACGTGTACCCCACAAGTCCGCTACGCGTCGCACGCACGCAACAGCACTAATGTTTATATTATTACCTAATAATAATAATACCTCAATTTTACTGATAGTAAGTATATTTGAAAGTATTTAAAGTTTTATCAAACATCCTGTACATAGTTATCTTTATCACACTCATATAGATATCATTTCATTCGAATAGACTAGGCAAAACCGGCCTTAATTACAGTACATAGGATAATGTGTAAAGTTGCCACGAACATTCGAATGTGTCTTCGTGAATGTTACAACGTATGCGCTCTACGAGTATCCGAACATGTGTAGTCCTGAGTATAACCTGTGCTCATTTCGGTCCAACCACGGAAATAGCACAGCTACCCTAGTTCGTAAAGGAATTGAATGCAAACATACTGCCATATTTTTGTAAAGTGACTACGTTACCCATAGAGCAAAGTACCCCAACGAAAAAGTACAAAAACGAGGCCCTGAGTGAACGAACATTCCTTCAACTTTAATGTTTAACGTGTAAAGTGTATTAATATAAAGCGGAGTACGCATGTAAGTACCACACCCGCACGATGTACCTGTGCCTGCGCAAGAGACGGTGTATCCTGTGCGAAGGCTTAGAAACAATTGTATCTAATTTATTACACATAAACCACCGGGCGTTAAGAAAATTGTAAAGTTATGAGATGGTTGTGCACGATAGAATATTATTTATGTAATTAAACTAATCGGTCTGTCCAAAATATAAAATTAATGATGATATTGGCTTATTCGGCCGAGCCAGGCCTGGCAGGGCGAGGGCCGGCCGAGGTACCGACACCGCACACAGCCGAGTCTAGTGGGTTAGTCGTAATTTGAGCTTGATATATCGGTAAGTAGTGACCTATGCATGGAGCCCTAGCCAAACTAGGTACCTAATATTTAGAGTACCGCCGCGCGCCGCCGCGCCGCGAGCTGCATTCGACACTCAATTTTTAAAGTTTTTAGCTAGAATGTTGTAAATAGTCAAATGTAATTTTGTATGTTACATAAGAATTTTTCAATATACGTCTCCTTTGCATTAAAATAGAAGGCTACGGTTACATTAAAACGTTTATATTCAAATACTATCGTGTGTAGTTTGTTGTGAATTAGGCTTCGATGTCACTGTATGCTAGTTACGTATAGAGTTCGGACGTCTCATTGTAAAAATGTAAAATACACGCTATTGATTTGGGATTAAAATATGAATGTTAAATAAGTATTAATATTAAATGACGATTTTTCCTTTAATATTTTTATACAGCATTACAATATATTTATCGCAATTAAAAGTTTATAGAGGTGGGTCAGTGTGCAATTTAAAAAATAAAAATAGTGTTTAAAATTGTATAATCGCCTTAACGAGAGAGAATATAGCTGAGTCCTCCTGCGTGTGTTTGCCTGACGTTTAATGTTACCATTATTGTTTATGCAATGTGTGCATGTCCTCGGAACTTGTTGCTAGGTGATACTAGAGGCCGTATGTGGGGGGTCCACAGACCTCCGTGCGATCTCCTTCCTATTGTTTATTGAGCCGGGCGTAAATTAAAATATTACATTGATTGACGATACAAGATTTATTGAACGTAAGCGGCTGTTACTTATGAAATAAATTAAACATTGGGAAGTTCGATGTTGCTGTCAATATTTTAATTCACCCTGTGTGACCACGTACCTGTCTATTAATAATTACAAGTTTACCGCTGTTAAGTTGTTGCTCCATATTTTTACTAAACTCAGATCGATGCGACCATGTGACGTGCGCAAGTATGTAGTGATGGTGATCTAATCGTCTTAGCTCTTCGGATTAGTATAAATTACCTATCGGATGTTGACAAATGACAGGAAAACTATATCTAATAGTTGTAGTTAAATATAACATGACAAAGCATATGTCCACTGAATTGTGTATTGTTGTATATAAGTAAGTCTGACTCATGTTATCATTTCTAGGGGCACAACTTCTCTATATATGTATATGGGGGGTGTGCCCATTTTGCATTATGATGGCCCACTACAGGTTCATAAAGGTCTATTAATTAAACATAGGTGCTTACAAAACATATTAGGTAATCAGCAACAATTTTGAAAGCAATATTTTATGTAGAACTGACTTATTTGAACAGATCAGTGGACACGCGCTTTCGTATCACGACGCGAGACGAATATAATTAAGATACATACATATTTCCGCCCCCGAAATTTCTCTCTACGATTCAACGATATCTTAAAATCTACGAAATCATTTACTAGATCGATAATTATACAAAAACACTAACTAAAAAATGCCTACTAAGCGTACTTAGTAAATCCATGTTCTGTGTGCATTAAATTCTAGAATTAACAACATTGTTGACTATTGCTAATAGCTTGAGGTTGTTATCGTTTTTAGAACGGACAAGGTGAATTTTTCATGTATTTATATACGTATATATAAATCTTACGCTCTATAACGAATGTTCGCTAGACC